GAGTCTCGATCGATTGATGGCAGCTTCTGTTGATCCTTTGGTGGTCGGAAGAGTGATTGGAGATGTGTTGGACATGTTCATCCCTACCGCCAGTATGTCTGTCTACTTTGGCCCCAAACACATCACTAACGGCTGCGAGATCAAACCCTCCGCCGCAGTCAACCCTCCCAAAGTCAACATTTCCGGCCACTCCGATGAGCTTTACACTCTCGTATTATACACACACATCTTCTCACATCTATCCCTTTATCTATTAGTCTCACTTATAATTAAAACACATATGTGCGTTACATGCTTCCTCGTCATCATGGTCATGAATTCATGATCACCCTTGATCATTATAATAGGCACATGCATGCATACATTACTTGATGGCCCTCTTTTCAGATACCTAACGCATTCGAACATATATAATCTCGGTTCAAAAATTGTTTTTAATATTAGAAAAAAAATACTGAAAATATGTATGAAGCAAGCACTTACCTTTTTTATATAAAAATCAATATATTAATGTATATAATTATTAAAAGTTTTGCATAGACTTTCAAATACTTTGAGACGTCCTGCACTAGTTTATATATATATTTGTTGGTACGTTTACATAGATGTTGACGTAATTTATATACTTTATACGCAGATAACTGTAAATGAGTTTCTAATACGAAACTAAATGTGTTAGTCACGATTTAGCTGATAATTTTATTACAATAATAATGTTTTAATTATTTGATGGATTGGTGCATGTGTTGGAATTTCATTAGCCATTTGTAAATGTAAAAATATTCGACGCATGCAGGTGATGACTGACCCGGACGCACCTAGCCCGAGCGAGCCTAACATGAGAGAATGGATCCATTGGTGCGTACTCGTGACGCACTCATCAACATCGACCTTTTTTCTTCTAGTAATTACATATGTACACAATAATAGGTGACGTATAAATATAATACAATCGTTTCTTTTTTTTTTTTCAGGATTGTCGTGGATATCCCCGGAGGCACCAACCCCTCAAGAGGTATGAAAAAAGTCAAAAATAAATTTAAGTTTTCGATTTTGAATTCAAATTGTTTAGAATTTAGGAATCTATTAAGTTGATATCTTTGCTA